TAAGAATATAGTGGTCAATAGGGCATTCTCCTCTTTTATTGAGTTATAATAAATTATTATCCAAAATAATCCCTTCTATTTCTTTTGCAGTAAATTACTTCTTACCTCCACTAGTGTGACTGTAAATTTATTTCCAAGACTAATTTTGTGTTTAGCGTTGTTATGAACTGCTATAATGATAGATTTGTAATATTTTATATAAAAATTATATTATCATTTAATAAATGTTTTAAAATAATTTTTATATATTAATATGATTATAAAATTATATAAATATTAATTAAAATTAATTTAATTATACTAAATTAATATTTTTATAAATTGCTATTTGAAAAAATACTTTGGAAAATCAACCCAAACACAACATAAGCCAGCTTAAAAAAATGCTGGCTTCCTTGAGCATTTGCTAATGAATTTGATTTGGCTTGACCTGCACAGATGGTGTTCGACGAAATGCTCATTAGAAGTTTTCATGGAATCCGGCGTTGTTCTCGTGACTGTCGATTGAATTACTACCCAGACCTCTAATATCGTTGGCAAAACAGAGTGAAGCCTAGGGCAGCCGCATCAAGTTTGCTCCAACGCCACTTGAACCCTGTTGTATTCATCTTGCCGAATCATCATTCTCCAGTTGAGGTTTTTCTATTCGCACACCTAAGTAGGTATCATCATGCTCTTCCTTTTAGCACGATTGATTTCCTTTACAAAGCTCCTCTGTATTGTATATACATTTATATTATATAAGATGTTAATTTTGCTGTTTCCATTATTGAAATGCTGGAGATTCCTTCACCCTTGTATTTTTTTCATTTTATAGATATGGATATACATATAGAGACATATGGTTTTTGATTTATTAACCTAGTTTTCATTGCTTGAGTTACATTGCTAAATGGACGGGAGGGAGCTTCATTTGCTAAATGACTAAAAATTCTAGTACGAATAGCTCGTGATATTTTTAAAGTATAATGATCAGAAAAGATGATTCCTTTTAAAAGCTTAAGGGATCTGAAAATCTCGTTCGGCCCATTCAACGCATTTTCCCAAAGGAGATTGAAAAAACCAGTTGTTTCGTCTCAGGTTTGCTTAGAGACAAGAACAAGAGACCTCAAACTTGACAAGTTTATGACCCACCTCAAAGGAGATTTGAGGGATTTTAGGTTGATTGATTTGGATGTTGTTGAACTGGTTGCCAGAGATGAGAGTTTTGACAGTGGCTGAGGTTGAAAAATGGAGAGAAAAAGAGTATAGAGAGAAATGGTTGAGTGAGTTTGAAACAATATATGCATTTTCTCTTATCTTTCCAACAGGGTTCGAGATGGAGGTAGGATGCAGGGAGAAGTTGAAGAATTGGCAGAGGCTTCCTTATTGGAAGTCTTATGACAGAAGAGGTTGTAAAAGTACGTACTTATGAAGGAGTCGAATGGTTTGAGGAGCAGGCAGTTGGAATCATTCATGAGTTCCTGAGCTTGACTGTGAAGAAGATGGTTGAAGTTGACAAATTGGCTTATTTTAGGAAAGACTTTGCAATAGAAGTTAATGTGCATGAACTGCTTCTGAAACACGCTGGAATATTCTATATATCAACAAAGGGAAGCACCCAGACTGTGTTTCTTAGAGAAGCCTATAGCAAAGGATTTCTGGTTGAGACAAATCCAGTTCACATTGTTTGAAGAAAAATGTTGGACCTACTCCTGCAATGATGTTGAAATACTAGAAAAGTGTACCTTCAAGAGGAAATAATTCGGAAAGGTGATAGTTTAGTTTCCAGGGCAGATGGAGATGGCTCAAGAGATGGTCTCTGGGTTATCCCAATTATAGATGGTTATGACACTGACAATGAAAATCCACTGGATGGTCCCGATGAAATAAGCAATTACAAGGAAGAGTTCCATGGATACTGTGAGAGTGGAAGTATTAAAACTTATTCTTGCATTGAGAATGAATCAATTTGGCCGCATGATCTTTAACATTGATTTTGCAAGCTATTGGCTTATTCTTTTCCACAACTACTCACTCCGACATGGACAGAAAGAAGGCAGCCTCTGCTGAGTGCACCCGAAGACAATTGCTAAGCATGCCTCAACATATCAAGACTGATAATTCCTTCTTCCCTCTAGTCATACTTATATTTTCTTCACATAAGACTTATACCCTGGGAAAAGAAGCCAAGTAACTAGGGTCTCTGTGCAAGAAGATTGATGAATTTTTTAGCCACATGCCAGGTTCTTACAACCAAAGGACAACCTTATGAGAAGCTGGGTGACCTAATGTCAAATTGATACCTGGTCTCCTGTTAACTTGGTTTTGAAGGTCTTGGTAGCCACAAAGCAACATTTTCACTACATGCTTGCATTGCTGCAAAGATACGATTTCATACATCTTTTTTGCCATATGCTAACGGACATCATTTAATTTCCTTTTGCTAACTTTGATCTTGACCTTTTTGCATAGGCAT